AGATTTAACCAGCAATGCGGGAGGGAGGGAGGCAGGGAGAACATGCCGAAGAGAAGGAAGAGCATGGGAACCTCCTGGAAGTCTTAGTAGATGCAGGGCCAGGTGAGACTCTGGAAAGAGTGGAGTCAAGGGCACCTGGGTGGCTCAGTTGGTTGGGCGACTGCCTTCGGCTCAGGTCATGATCCTGCAGTCCCGCGATCGAGTCCCGCATCGGGCTCCCTGCTCAGCGGGGAGTCTGCTTCTCCCTCTGACCCTCCTCCCTCTCGTGCTCTCTCTCATTCTCTCTCTCAAATAAATAAAATCTTTAAAAAAAAAAAGAGTGGAGTCAAGGCAGGGGTGGTGAGAGCTAGACGAAGAGGAAAACCAAGGAGACAGTGCAACCATAGGGACTGCGTGAGAAACTGCTTTTTTGACTCCTTTTCCTGCTTTGAGTCTTCCCAGGCCCTACACCCCCACCTTATGCATGCCTTATAGCACAGATAATGCATGTCAAGGGGTTAGTGATTTCTTTGGAGTCTTCCAGCACAATGGATAACATCTAAGGAATGACCTGATAGGGTCGTTGGTCATGACCATTTTCCAAGACCACTGACTCATCAAGACCCCTGGCTCCAGGGCATAGGTGACTTCTGGAGGACACCTAAAGGCTCATCTTTGTTCCTGGATTACCGAGAAGACACCTGCGCTGGACCGCATTCCTTAATAAAAACCCCAGGCCACAAGCAAAGACAAGACTCACTCTCCTTCCTCCTAGGGTCTCCCTGACACTCTGTCTGTATCTACGCTTTCTCTATATCTTTAATAAACTGTCTTGCTTCCTCTTGGCTCATGTTTGATTTTTTTTTTTTAAAGATTTTATTTATTTATTTGAGAGAGAGAGAATGCGAGATAGAGAGCACGAGAGGGAAGAGGGTCAGAGGGAGAAGCAGACTCCCTGCTGAGCAGGGAGCCCGATGCGGGACTCGATCCTGGGACTCCAGGATCATGACCTGAGCCGAAGGCAGTCACTTAACCAACTGAGCCACCCAGGCGCCCTGATTTTTTTTTTTTTTAAGATTTTATTTATTTGACAGAGAGACACACAGTGAGAGAGGGAACACAAGCAGGGGGAGTAGGAGAGGGAGAAGCAGGCTTTCCCGCTGAGCAGGGAGCCCGATGCGGGGCTCGATCCCAGGACCCTGGGATCATGACCTGAGCTGAAGGCAAGACGCTTAACAACTGGGCCACCCAGGTGCCCCTCACATTTGATTTCTATCCTGCACGAAGCCAAAGACCTTCCTGACCGGTTCCAAGGACTCCCTCCGCGTCCTCAGCCCCGGCCAGCCTGCATCACAAGGATGGGATCTCACAGGGTCATGTAAGTACCTTCTTGAGCAGCCTGCAAGGTGCTGCGGGGGCGGGGTGGGGATAGGAACAGGGAAAAGATAAAATGAACATGCCCCGTTGGAAAGGCACTGGAAGACAAGGGCCTCTGGAGTCAGATTCTGGGTCTGGGATTCTCAGAGCTCTGAGCAAGGTGCCGGCCCCCCACGCAGTGTAGGATCGCCATCTCTCCCTCCTGCCTCAGGGCAGGCTGGCCACCCAGGAGGGGACCTTTCAGGACTGGGACACATATCACCTTTCACCAGGGGGCCCTCAAAAAAGCCGCAGTGTGCCTTCCTACCTTGCTCCCCGCGGCCCTCTCTGTCCATGAGAACACTCACGCCCTCTGCTTCAGCCAAGGATCTGCAGGCCACCCCACACCCTGTCTTCTCCCCTTTAGGCCAGGCAGCTCCAGCTCTTACAACTCATCTCTGGTGCCTCCTGCCACGTCCAGCCTTTCCCACCGTTCTGGGACCACTTGGACTGTGCCCCTGTGGGCTCCAACCCCTACCTGCTCAATCCCGGTTGCCTTTGTCTGAATGCCCGCCCCTGCATCCGGGTCCGAACTTCCTAAGAGCCACCTTTGGGCCCCAGCCCCAGCCTTGGCTCTCTCTCCAGCATATCTGCCTCTTGATTCTGAGGATAGGCTGGTTCTTGTAAGTCGGGAACCACTTCCTGTCCGGCTAGGACCTTCTCAGCTGTTCCCAGGCGGCCCTCTCCAGGAGGGTCAATGGTCTAAGTGCAAGGTCAGGACTCCTCCCTGAGATCATGCAGAGGCCTGTCACAGGAAGGGCCCCACAAGACTGAAGAAAGACAGTCACAGCATCCTGCCACGGGTTGTTTACATGCACTAGGAGCCACAAAAAAACCCAAACAAAAACAAAAACAGTTATTTGCAGCAATCATTGAAGGAAATGGAGGGGGGTAAAGTGAGCAAGGCTTGGGGGAGGGGGGCCCTGGTTGTGACCACCAGGTGGGGGGAAAGTCCTCCTAATGTAAGTGTTGAGCAGAGACTCCCCACTGGTCTCAGGGCTCTGCCTTGAAGACGAATTGATCACTGATGGGGCCTGGCTCCAGGCCACGCAGCACCGCCAAGCAGCCACGGGGCCTCAAGAGGCTCAGCAAGAGTCCCAAGGGTCTATGACTCTGAAGGCAGTTGCAAATGTGAAGCCTGGGGTGGGGGGGGGCGGATCTCAGTGAAAGTGACTCTCTCACTTTTGTCCGGTGTCATCACGGGGGCCCAGGACACGGACGGCTGGGCAGAGCGCACACACGGTCTCGGATATGAACCTGGAAGCTTCCTCAGTGTCTCGCGGGCTGCGTGACCCTGGGTGAGTGACTTTGCTCTGAGCCCACATCAGCTTGGTATGGAGAGCTGGGTAAACGGGGATGCAGACGACACACATACCGGACGGCTCCCCGCAGGAGGCCCAGCCCTGCTCCCCTCGGGGCTCCTCTAGGGACTCAGGCCACAGAAGAAGCTACCTCTGAGTTGAGACAGAATTCAGGTATTGTCTTGGGTATCTGAACCCCTTTGTCCTGTGCCTCCTGACTGCTCCTCACCTCGCCCTGAGCAGGCGGCAGGCTGGCTGAGTGGGAGGGGAGAAGCCATACCCCGGACGGCGGTGTAGGGCGGCCTGTCTGTCCTTTCTTTCTTTTTTTTTTTTTTAATGATTTTATTTATTTATTTGACAGAGAGAGACACAACGAGAGAGGGAACACAAGCAGGGGGCGTGGGAGAGGGAGAAGCAGGCTTCCCGCCAGCAGGGAGCCCGATGCGGGGCTCGATCCCAGGACCCCGGGATCATGACCCGAGCCGAAGGCAGACGCTCAACGACTGAGCCACCCAGGCGCCCCCTGTCTGTCCTTTCTTACTGTAGCTTCCCACCAGCCTGGCCCCAGCAGGCCTGTGCCCCGATTTCCTCCATAGCTCTTTGCTCTCCTTGCAGAGGGCACCGGGGGTCCTCTCCCACAGACCTCACTGACTCCAGGAGGATCTCACTGGCATACCAGCCCAGGCCAGGCCATTGAACCCCTTGGAAGTGTGGCTATTGGCTCTCAGTCCTGCCCCCCCACAAACCCATACTCCAACCACAGAGAACCTTCTGTTCTCTAAACTCCGCCACGGTTCCGCATCTTTGCCCAGGCTGTGTTTACATCCTGAAATATTCTCCCTGACACCCTGCCTTCTTATCCAGGCACGCACGGATCATTAACAGAATCGTGGAAATATGGATCAAATTTCTCCTGGGTGTACTATGGGGTGGGGGAAGGGTGAGGGCACCAGGAGACAGAGGCTCTGGGTGGACAGACTCCAGCAGTTCCTTGCAACCCACAACCCGCCCCCTCCACCACAAACACCCCTACGCACACACCACCCTCCAGGTCTTAGCTCCTTCTCTCTCCCAGCTAGCGTCCCTCCAGCACCTGGCGACCCAATTAGACAGACTCCGCTTCCAAGGTGTAGCTCACATGCCCCACGCTCCTCATGCTCTCCTTTCACCTGGTGCCCCCTGGATGGGTTTAGACCTCCCCAGGGCACTCAGAAAGCATGTTCGAATTCTGGCTGGCTCTGTGTCCTGGGGCCTCAGTTGTTCCACCTGTAAAATAGAATAGTTACACCTAATTCATAGTGTGTTCGTACAGAGTAAATGAAATAGTACGCCAACTAGCTTGTGCTAAATGCTAAACAAATGTTCACTATTACCAGCATCATCTTAATTTCTGCATCCTTGGCCCTGAACACAGGGCTGAATTTACAATTGGTGCCAAATACTTGTCTGGTGAATGGATGGGTGAATGGATGGATGGACGACGTATAAATGGAGAGATCAAGATCTCTCTGGTCTTCTATGGCAGTTTGGGGTGAGGGTGGGAGACCAGGAAGAACTGTAAAAAGTTAACATTTTTTGTAAACTGTATTAAACTGTAAAAAGCATATCATAGCTTGTCTCGTCTATGCCTCATAATAGGAAAGAGTTCCAGCAGGACAAGGAAGCGGTTATTCAGAGAATTTAAGTCAGTGGCTCAACGTCACACAGTGAATAAGAGATAGTCAGGACAGGTAACTTTGACAGTTTCCTTAATACCTGGAAGAAGGAGGAGGAGGACTTACTTCAGACTAGCTGGACTCAATCTTAGACTGGAAACTCCTGGAGGGCAGGGCGTCTGGAGGCAAGGCTGCCTCGCTGGGCCCAGTAGGAACCGCTGTGCGGATAACCCGCTTTGGGGAAAAAAAGGAGAGAGGGGAGGCTGAGCTGGGGGTAGGGGCAGGGGTCTTACCCCACAGAGGCTGGCTCTGGGGCTTCCCGGACACCCTTCCTTCTCCAGCTTCTCCAGAGGCAGCCCTTAGCAGCCTCCGCACACAGAAGGAGTTAACTTTGGGCTTAACTTCTTGGAAGAACCTAAAGCTTTTATTCCTTTCTTTGCCAAGTCTTCCTGATCTTTACACCTCCAGCAGGTCCCTCCTCCTTACTCTCACCTCCTGGACTCAGTCTGATTGCCAGGGTGGGTCAATGGTTAACACTCAACCAGCTTTATATAAGCTTGCCCTGGCTGGCTGCCTACCTGCTGCATCGCTCCTTCAGTTCAGTGGATCCCAGAGGCCACGGCTCCAGCAGCCCTCGCGGGTCCACACCATGGCCACCTGCTGGCAGGGCCTGTGGGCCTATCGCTCCTACCTGCTTGTGTTCTTCCTGCCCATTTTTCTGCTGCCCCTGCCCATCCTTGTCCCCACCAAGGTAAGGACTCCAGGTTTGGCTCCAAAGGGGTGCAGGGCAGTCTGGACGAGGACTGGGCATCCTTAGGACCAGCATAGTTTACTCATCCTTCCCTGACCTGGGAATGAGGCTATGACCTCCTGGTCCTCCCGAGACTGAGGGTTGAGAGGTCAAAGGGGGCTTTTGCTTGGCACCCAGGATTAACAGCCCAAGGCGAATTGCTTAGGTGCACTCGAAATCTACTGCCTTGAGAGATAGGAAGTCAGTTTGGGAAAGGAGGTGCAAGTGGAGGCAGCTGGGGTTCTCTGCCTACTGTGTGCTCACCCAGCCTTGCTGGGCTCAGTGGGGCGTGAGCGGGGCTGGCTGCTGGAGACCAGTGGAAAGGGAGTAGGAGGAAGCTGGCTTCGGGCAGTTTGTGCCTTTAAGAGTGCAACCAGAGAGCCGCCTGGTTGGCTCAGCCGGTTAAGGCTCTGCCTTCGGCTCAGGTCATGATCCCAGGGTCCTGGCATCGAGCCCCGCGTCTGGCTCCCTGCTCCACGGGGAGCCTGCTTCTCCCTCTGCCGCGCTCTCTCTCTCTCTCTCAAATAAATAAATAAATAAAATCTTAAAAAAAAAAAAGTGTAAAGAGAAAGAGCTCACCCTTGATCCCAAGGGCTAAGTCAGCTGAGGGAGAGGGGTAGGAACTGGACAAGGGGACCCTGCCAGTGGGCACCATAGACAGCGTACCTTGGATGGAGGGAGAGGGGCTACAGCCTCCTGCCTCCCTCCACCAAGCAGCAGGTACCATAACTTCAGCTCCAATTTATTGGAGCCCCCACCACATGCCCTGGACTGTGCACCCAGTAACCCTTCCACTCATCTTCCCCCTCCCCCTGACGGACCCTTCCTCTCATCTTAAGAGGCAAGCCTGCCTACCCCATTTTACAGATGGGAAAAGTGAGGTTAAGTCACTTACCCAAATCCCAAGGCAGATTCTGGTTTCATGGAGCTTGGCTATAATACATTTTGGAGGCCCCCTTGTAAGTAAAAGACCATAAATTGTGAATCTAAAATTACGGGGCTTTTGGGAAGGGTCAGTTCAGGAGGAGGGTCTTGAAGCTCAAGCTTCGGCCGGTAGGTCACAGACAGCGGAAGAGCTGGGGGTGTGGTCTAGCTTCTCTTCACCCTGCTGCCTCCTCGAGGCTGAGACGGGATCCTGGCCCTGGCCCCACCCACAGCCCCAGGCCTGCCCATTGAGCCATTATCATCCTTTTGTCACAAAAAGGGAAATCGAGGCAAGCTTTTTGTTCATGGTATCCCAAAGGGGTGAGAGAATGGGGATACCGTGGCCCAGCTCTTGAGCCCCTGACACTTGGTAAGTGACAAGGCCTGGCTGACCTTTAAGACCCTCCTCTCGGGCCAAAGCCAGGGACAGCTCTGCGCTGGGGACCCGTCCGATGGGTTTTCAGACAGCTTGGGCCAAGTGTGTTCACTGCAGGAGGAAGGACAGGCAGGGACCCTGATTCCCATTTCCCTCCTCAGGAAAGTACAGCCCAGAAAGATTCAGCAACTTGCCTAGGGTCGCACAGGGAGGCCAGAGTCAGGAGAAGCCAGGCCCCCTGACGGGAGGGCTAGGAGTCGGGAGCCCCCCGCCCCCCACCCCCCACCCCAGCCCTGCTGCCTGCTTTGGCCTCACGGACGGACGCTGTCATCCCTGCCCTGACTCAGATGAACTATCCCCAGTCCTCCCTGTGGAGTCCGACCCCTCGGCTCGGGCCCTGGAAACCAGCTCCTCTCAAGGACTTTACCCCCTGTCCAGCCTCATCAATTTTCCCCTCTCTCCTAATCTCTCCCATCAGCATACACTCTCTCTCACCGTAAAAAACTAAACAGACCCTCCTTGAATCCCACAATCCCTCCACAGAGGCCTGCTCCCTCTGTCTCTCTCAAGATGGAAGTCATCCAAATCTGGCTGCACGGCACGGGTCTTTCCTTAAGACAGCTCCAGGCTCCAAGGGGCTACCTTCCGCTCCCCCCCCCCCCCCCCATTCCCACTCTCTCCCTAGGTGACTTTGGCTGTCTGCATACTGACAACTCTCCAATCTTAACCCCAGCCCTAACCTCTAAACTCAGTGTTACCCGGCTAACACTGGACACTTGCTCCTGAATCTTCTGTTTTATTTTATTCTATTTTTTCAAAGATTTTATTTATTTATTTGACAGAGAGAGCCACAGCGAGAGAGGGAACACAAGCAGGGGGAGAGGGAGAGGGAGAAGCAGGCTTCCCGCGGAGCAGGGAGCCCGACACGGGGCTCGATCCCAGGACCCTGGGATCACGACCTGAGCTGAAGGCAGACGCTTAAGCCCTGAGCCACCCAGGCGCGCCTGAATCTTCTCTTTTAAACAGCATATGCTTCTACACTTACCATCCAAAACAACACCGCTTGCTCATCTTTTCCAGCTGGCTCTTTCTGCTGTCTTACCAAGATGTGGTTCAACTTTCTACTTCCGAGCCACTCCTTTTTTTCTTTTTTTTTAATGTTTTATTTTTAAGTCATCTCTACACCCAACGTGGGGCTCGAACTCACAACCCCGAGATCAAGAGTTGCACGCTCTACCCACTGAGCCAGCCAGGCGCCCCCAGAGCCATTCCTGATTCCTCTTTTTCCTTCATTTCCACGCACACCAGCGGGTCCTGTTGACTCGAGATCTCTGAGATACTCTGAGTGGGATTGCTTGCCACTGCCTCCCACGTGGGTCCAGGCCGCCATCATTTCTCTGCTCTCCCTCCCCAGACCATTCTTCACCCAACCACTACCCTGTGGAAGCCCTTACACAGGCTTCTCGTCAAACTCGAAATAAAACCCAAACCTCTTAGAGTAGCCAGGAGTCCCTGGGGCTCCACTCCTGGAGACTCCGTGGTCCCCAATGCCTCCTATCTTCCCTCTTCGTTCACTCTTCTCCAGCCTCACCCACTTTCTCCGTGCTCCTCAAATTGCTCGGTCTCCCTGCCTGGAATCTTCTTTCCCAGATGACTGCTTCTCACTCCTGGGGTTTCAGCCTCAATCCACCTCCTCAGAAAAAGCCTTCCCTGACTGCCGCCAGTCAGGCTCTATTAGGAACCCCTGTTGTTCTATGTAAAGGGCTTTCACTATCTGAAATGATGCACTTGTTTATTTTCTATTTATTCTCCGACTACCTACACTAGACTGTAGGCTCCATGAGGGCAGGGACTTGGTCTTTTTCCATGCAGAATCCCCTGGCACATAGTAGGTGCTCAACAAACACCTGTAGAATGAATGCAGGAATGTGGGCAAAGAGGACCTTGTGCTGAGTCCCCGCTGTCTGTAGTGAGTCGCCAAGCTTACTTCCATGCCCCTGGCCCCTGAAGTGGGAAGGAAGAGCCCCACACAAGGCTCAGACGGGTAGTCCATATTGTAACAGTTGATATTTACTGAGTATTTTTTACGTGCTAGCCATGGTGCCAAGCACTTCAAAGCACTAACCCATTTATGTCTCATAATAACCTCTGAGTTACTGTGAGGGTACTACTATTACCCCATTTTACAGACATATCAATTGAGGCCCAGAGTAGTAATTTGTCTGAAGTCCCAGCTAGAGAAAGGCAAAAGCTAAACTGGAACCCGGCCTTGGGGGTCTCTGCCCGAGGCTGTCCAGAGATACAGGCTGGTGGCCCCGTTGTGAGTCACCTCTTGAGCCGCCTACCCTCACATCCAGCCAGTCATCAGCCAGTCCTCCCACTGTGCTGCAGTCTGATGAGCTCCTGCTCTGTGCTAAGGGGTTACTGAAAAGGAGCAGAGGGTTCTGTCCTTAGGTTGCTGTCACAGGAACATGTATTTACACAGAGATATAGCTGGAAGGCTGAGGAGCTCAGAGGAGGGAGCAAATTCTTCCCACTGAGTCAGGGGCGAACCCCAAGCGGGTGGCCTTTGAGTTGGGCCTTGAAGGCTGAGTGGGATGCTAATAGTCAGACGCATCCTTAGCAGGCAGGCTGGGTGAAGGCAGCTGCAGGAGGAGCAAAGGTGTAGGGGCTGGAATCGTAGGGTGTGTTCCAGAAATAGCAACCGAATCCTGGAAATGCTCGTCATCCTTTGGTGGTCCCAGGGGACAAGGGATAGTGAGGCCCGAGGCCTCCTCACCGCTCCCCCAACCCTGCAACCGGACAGTGAGGAAGCACCATGGGTGTGCCCCAAACCTGACACCCGTCCATTCATTCGCCCACTCGCTCAGCCATCAGGGAGCACGTACTACGTCACAAGGACTGTTTAAGTGCAGGGGGATGGGGCTGGAAAGACACGCAGAAGCATATGCTGTGAAAACCGTAGGACAGGCTGTGACTATGGCTTAGGGATGGGTTGCTCGGAATAGGGTGGTCAGGGAAGGCCTCCCGGAGCAATGATATTTACCCTCGGACCTGAATGGCAACTGAGAGCCAGTCAAGCACAGCTCTGAGCAAAGACCCGTCCAGGCAGAACATGCAATGCAAAGGCCCAAGGCCAGGAGCGAGTTTGGCAAGCTGGAGGGATGAACAAGCCCAGCGTGGCATGGGGAGCTGAGCCGGGGGGAAGATGGTGTATGTTCAGTTAGAGAGGAAGGGGGAGGTGAGCCAATGTTGTCAGCCCTGCAAGGCCAGGGGAAGGAGTGAGGATTTTTAGGGTCAAAAATGCTGGTTTCCGGGCGCCTGGGTGGCTCCGTGGTTAAGCGGCTGCCTTCGGCTCAGGTCATGATCCCAGGGCTCGGCAGGAAGCCTGCTTCTCCCTCTCCCACTCCGCCTGCTTGTGTTCCTGCTCTCGCTGTGTCTGTCAAATAAATAAATAAAATCTTTAAAAAAAAAAAAAAATGCTGGTTTCCCCCCTCCCCACGGGACCATCTGGAAAAACAGTCTCCTAGGGGCACAATGTTTGCCAGGACAGAGCTTAGCTAGAATCCAGATTGTATTTACAGGAAGAACAGAAGGCAGAACTTCTTAATCTGAATCAGCTGCACTCCTAGACTATACGCACCGTACGTTGTGTTGCCTG